TATCCAGTCCCAAGGAGCAATAAACAAGACCCACGCAGCACAAACCCAACACTAATAATTGAGGAAGATCCCAACCAGGCAGCCGACTACTACCCAACACAGCCGATGCAGAATACCTGAATAATAGAGAAGAACCCAAAACGGAGCACCGACGCAGCCAAGGATCCCGATAGCAAGAACACAGCAACCAAAAACAGAGCAACGAAGCTGCCGAAGATCCCCAATGACCAGAACTCAGAAAACAAGCAGCCGAATCCACACAGCAGCTGAAAACCTCAAAAGAGAGGCTCTGATACCATGATAAGAACTCACAATAAACAAGAAACACAACACCGAGATTTACGTGGTTTCCCTGAAGATCAGGACTAGTCCACGGGAGAGGTAGAACTCTCCAGAGTCAATCTTATTCAGCTTAGTTTTACTGTACATCAAAGATACATATATATATATATGTTGGCCTAGGGTACCAGCCGAACCCTACTAGTCTATTTAGGTAACTATGGTAATTAAAGTAAAATTACTAAACAGTCACCTAAACAAACTATGTCGTCACTTCAACAAAAAGAGGTTGTATTATTGTTAGCAAATGCGTTCTTTGCGAGTGGGAGGAGGAGACTGTGGATCATCTCTTCGGTGGATGCAGGTGGAGCAAGCAAATCTGGGGGACTTTTCAGTCCACTATGAAATTCATGGGACCTTCTCCATTCACCATCGACTCCCTGATAAGAGGATGACCGTTAAACAAGCATACATCTTGGAAAGATTGGTTCTGCAGCAGATTTCTTCATGCTTTTGGCTGGGAAATTTGGAAAGAAAGGAATGCCAGAATGTTTAAAGACGATTCTAAGACGTGGAGAGCAATCGTTCGTAAGATTCGAAACAACCTCCTGAATTGGAGCTCCGCGCATGGTATTGTCAGTTCTCAGGATGGTCACAGCTGGCTACAATGGATTTATCAAGCCTGTCCCTTGACTTAGCCGCTGGAAGAGAGCTGAGCCATTTTTGCTTTTCTTTCTGGGCGCTCCTGTTCATGTTCTTGCTCTGTTTTCCCTCTTTTTTCCTCCGTTTCTGCTTGTTTTTTGCTTTCTTTTTTCACTTCTCCCTCCTGACCTTTTTTGGATTGCTGGTGGCGATCTGAACAACGCTTGTTTCTTTGTACTCTCGACTTGTTCTTTTTTCTTATTTAATATAATTAACCCTTATAAAAAAATATCCACAGCCTACGCAAACCTATATATACTTCACCATACCTTACCTATAATTAATAGCTTTACTTAAGTTTGGAAAATATTACCATAGCCAATTGCGATTCCTATATTGCTGGTCGTCTCTCTCCATGTAAATTTACATGTTGCATTAAAGAGAGGCAGATAATAGACAAAATCTTTTATATGTAAATATGTATGTTTTTAATGTACAAGATCGATAATTAGCCTCTATAGATAGAAAGGGAGAGAGTAATTTGGTTTGACACTCTTTATATTATTACTAGATGGGAAAGACCCGCACCATGCTGCAACGCATGTAATAAACACATTAAAAAACCCCATCAACCATGCATTTTTTATGGAAAAGGCCCAATTGTCTTTGAAAATGGTTGTAACGCTAGTGGAATGTCGGCCGGTTGAATCTAGTTCAATCGGTACAGGTCATGAAATGAGCATGAACATCATCCGTATGATTGGTATGATCAGTTTACGAATTCTAAACAAAATGACGTTGTTGTAATGAATCCAATTAATAAAAAATAATTTATTATTTATTTTATGAATTTAAAATTTAAATATTAATATTATTTATTGAATCCAAGTATAAAAGTTTAGATATTGCTTTAAATGTTGTATTTAAATATGCTTATTTATTATTTTATTTAGAATGCCATATTGTATTTTATTTAAATATTAATATAAATTATAAGTAAATTGTTTTATATATGATTAAATTCATTTGATATTAATGATTTTTTCAAATTTCTATATATTTTACTAAATCAACATGAACTCGCACAAATCAATTCTCAACCAATCAAACCATTTCACATGCTAAACCGACACAATGACAATCTTTATTATGAATCTTTCCCATAGACACGCAACCCGTCCCCACACCATTTCAGGAGTGATTTACTGATTTTGTAGAGAATGGGATTACATATTAAGCTAAAAGAATGACCAAGGGTTGAACCCAACCAAAGCCCAAATCCTAAGCCCACGGGCTAAACCCAACCGAACAGATTTAACTAAAAATGACCCCACCATTAACACTCTCTTAGGCAACAGCAAACAAGATTTAACTTTATATAATAATAATAATATATACCAAAGACCATATATGTGGGGTTTTTCCAGAAATACCACCAAAAAATAAATAAATTTCAAAAATACCATCCATTTTCGAAAATTTCCAAAAATACCACTCTTTTCTTCAAACCGCAGGGAGGAGGCGTGGTTCATAAAAAACCCGTCTGAAGTAACAACGGGTTTCCAAAAAACCACCGAATTGGACGGCGTTTCGAGAATTTGGGTCATAACCGTAGGGGGGAGTTGCGTTTCGCAAGGAAACCGCAGGCCCCCTGTGCGGTTTCAATGTTATGCATTTTTTTATCAACCAATTATGATATGATCCCAATTGGATCAATCCACAATTCATAATTACTTGCCAAAGAAATCATCTAAACTAACTTGAAGCATTCTGATTTTTGGCTAAGTGTTGAAACAGTTTCAGGTAGCCTGCTTTGGAAGCTTGTATCTTCCAAATGTCTTAATGAAAATTGGATATCAAGAGCTTATTTTAAATATAAAGTTGTCATGTTTCCAATGGTATGCTTTTTGGATCCAGAAGATGTCATCAAGGTTGTTTTCCAAGGCCTCAAAGTTGCTACCTCAAAACTGGAAAACTGCCAGAAAATTGCCAAGGCAGAAAACTGTTTTGTAAAGTCTACTTTGGAGCTCAATTCAAGGAGCATGGATGAGATTAAAGTCAAAAGGCTTCCACAACGTGAAACTAGGTATGTTTGCGAACGAAGGGAATGAATTAGATGAAGAATTGGAGTTCTAAAAGGCCTCGAACGAAAGGCGTAAAGTTAGTACAAAAGTTGCTTTTGGACTGTTTGTTGGCAGCTTGCTTGTGCTTCAAGAAAGGGAGATTAAACCCGAATTTTGTGTCCTTTTTAGAGTAGAAGTTTACCTTATTTTTTTCCTTGTTCATTTAGGTTTGTATTAGGTTTTCTTGGCTATAAATAGCCCTCTATACTCTTTGTAAAAAGACAGACCTTGTTGATTAATCAAAAAAGAAACCGTTTTGGTTTGTTCAAGTTTGCAAGCTTGTTTTTTGGTTTCGGTGCGATCAAAACTTGCTGACCTGCTTATTGATCGAGCAATCACAGTCGATTATATCGAAAGCTTCACCATAACGATTGTGCATTCTTCTAGGTGTAAGAATTCCCTTTCGTTTCCGTTTTATCCAATTTTCGTATTGAGAATGCGTTGTTCTTGATTCATTTTCAATCAATCTTCATATTGATCGTGTTACTGCGTGACTTTGATAACATACACCCCAGGGGCGTATTAAATTAGTCTAATGAACCATCTAAAAGAGCTCTATAAATGATTACAAAGGTCCACGTGATTTTGTTAGGTCTTTAATTAACTTTTTGCTAATGAATCTTCTTAATTGGTATCACTTTTATTTTCACCATTTTTCATGTTTGTTTGTAGTAGGATTGAAGGAAAATAATAATAATTTCATAGTTAGTAAATACTCCGTTTAATACACGTATATGTACCCGTACGTATTTTATCCGTTTAAAACATCTGTATCTGTATTATTGTGAAGCCATTTTATTTTTTTCGTTCATTTGATGGCTCTCATACTAAACACGTATAACCCCGTATAACAAGTTTAATATTTTTATTTTTTTATAATGGTGATAATTAAATAAACTAGAGAAAGAACCAAATACAAGACAACAAAGGCTAAGGTTCAAGAGACTGAACCTGCCCACTGCTGATTGAGTCGAGCGCGAGACTCCGGAGCCGGTTTCACTTCGTTTTGATGATCGGACGTCAATCCTGCAAAACCCTAATCGGCGGATTGACCGAGCAAGTGAAGAATCGAGATTTTCCTTTTGTTTTCTTTTTCTCTGCTTAATTCAGATGAATAATTAAAGAAAATGAAAAACGGTGATAACTGGTTTTAGCAAATAGAACAATGGGCTTAAGCCCAACTACTTATCACCGATAGCGTTTGGGCTTGGCCCTGCTTACTCAAGCTTAGCCTGCTGGCTGCTGCTTATTCCTTGATCCACCAATGTCAGTTCCCTGTGTGAAAGCTTCCCTGTACCTGATCAACACAGGACAAAAATAGAGCACCAAACTCTGCTCAAAATAGAGAACACACACTGCATGGATGTTTTTACGTGGTATCCGATTTTGGGAGAAGAAGGATCTCAATATCGACTAATCCACGGTAGGTATCTCTCCTCTTGAGGATCCCTACGTAACTACTAGAACGATTTTCTTGTTCTTGATTACACCACTAGAGTTTAAACTGACCAGCTCCCCGCCTATCAATCTAACTCCTCTACTAAAGTATAACCACCCTGATTACACACTCAGAAAAACTTGCTATTCTCCCCGATTAGCTTGTTTAGTTTTTTCTATCAAGAGCTCCTAACTTCTCACATAGTACACAGCTTTTGATTTCCCAGAAAAACTTAACCAGCAACCTACATCATCTTCGTCTTTATATTGCCTCTTTTCTTCTAGCTAGCCGTTGTGAGATGATGATTTGATTTCCCGCAAATCTGCTCCAGCTTTCCTTCTTTGAAACCTTCCATTTTGGCCATGATTGATTTTGTTGATTCTATCCCTATTGACGAGCTTCACTCAACATGCTCCCTCTAAGCTTGTCAATGGCTCTTCCTGCTACACAAGTTTCATTCCTGCACAAACTCAATAAACTATTGGTGCAGTCTGCTCTATCCGAAGTACAGATATCAGTGGCAAGGGAAGTTTTTATTCAGATTAATCGAAAGACTTAAACATAGTACATATTCCGATTTCAAATCAACAACAATCAATAGGAAAAGCAAACTGGACACTACCACACATAAACTAACTCATCCCTACAAGACTTCCCTAGCCGGTAAATTGTAGTTCCTCCTGAGCAGATTCATCAGGTTCCTAGAAGGGGTAACTAGGAGGCGATTCATAGTCTGAGATTTCATCTTCAGAACTAGAGTCAGATGAGATTGGATCAAAGTCATCTGGAGCCGGCCTAGCTTCATCAAACTCCATCAGTTCAAGACGTTCTTTGCAAACCAGAAGGCCTGTGGTCTTTCCATTACCAGTTTCTTTTTGACGCTTGACCTCACTATCTATGGCTAATACTGCAGCTTGATTCAAGGCTGTAATCAAGCTATCAGAGCTAGGATCAGCAGGAGAGAAAGCTGAGTAGCAGGGCACAACGTCTTCCCCTGAGCCAGAGACTAGCTTACGACGCCCTACGTTAGCATCAAGAGGAACGAGGACATGATTAGGGCATAGATCATCATGGACATTACACACTGCTACTTTGTCGCGAAGATCAATGCCAAGGTGATGTAAATAGCGAGTGATGAGGGGTCCAAAGGGTAGAGCACCCCTGCAGGCACCGTCGCCAAAATCGAGCATGTGGGCAAACATCAGTGATGCATAACTTATGGGTTGACGAGCACGAGAATTTCCCATAATCCAGAGATCCAAGGAATGAAGAAGACCAACACTTGTGATGTCGCGGGAAAGGAAGCATCGAGTGACGAAAAAGTGCAGGACTTTTAGATCATCATGAAATTGACCAACTGACAGCTGGTTGGAGAAAGTCTTGCCAATGTCGCAGGTCAGCCGATCAAGGGGAACACAAAAGTCAAACCCTTGTTTAGCAAAATCACTATCATAACTTGCCTTAATCCCAGAATGAAGAAGTGATAGAACCGATGCAAGAAGGTCTGGTGTGACTGTGATTTCATGGTCATAAACCATGGTGTTGAAGGATCGTGGTGCAGTACCATGGTCACGACGAATGTTGACATAGAATAGCCTGACTGCTTCAGGACAGTGAAGAAAGCGTTGATCCTTAGTCAATGATTCCCGTCCCAATCTAGCAATGAGAGAGGGAATATCCATGTCATATTTTGAGAAGGCTGAAGGAGAGATGGTGAATAAGGGATAGATGGGACGATCGCGGAAGCAACAAAGATACCTTGAGTAAACTATGGCGTTTCGAAAGCCTTGGTTTTTGAACACAACGACAGGACGAAGCTGAGCATTGTTGAAGGCCATTTGAGAAGGAGATTTTATGAGTTGGACGAGTGATTTTGAGGATGATGAAAGGTGACAGAGATGCCCTATAGATATATGGGTTGAGATGTAGTAAGCAAGGTAAATGAATCACTCACGTTTTGAAGGTCTAGCAAGTGATTGCTGATTATCTAGGACAGAGAGAGATGCTAAGAGTTCTAAGGAAAGAGTCGAGAGGAAATAAGGAAACTGAGAAGACACAGAATCCTAAAGGATTTCCACTATTTCTTCGAGAGTGAACATCCCAAGTTCTCGACGAATGGGCAGAAATTTATCAACAGGCAGAGGTTTGGTAAAGATGTCAGCCCATTGTGAATCTGTCCCTACAAATTCTAGGTGGATTTTTCCTTCTTGAACCAAATCACATATGAAATGATAACGAACCTCTATATGTTTAGTACGAGAGTGTTGAATTGGGTTTTTTATCATGTTAATAGCACTTGTGTTGTCACACAGGATGGGAAGAGAACCCAGTTGAAGACCATAGTCTTCAAGCTGGTATTTCATCCAAAGTACTTGAGTACAGCAAAAACCAGCAGCAATATACTCAGCCTCAACCGTGGATAAAGCCACTGAGCTTTGCTTTTTACTAAACCAGGAAACCAGTGAAGAACCTAGGAAATGACAAGCACCAGAAGTGCTTTTCCTGTCAACTACACACCCTGCGTAATCTGAATCGCTATAGCTGATCAAGTCTAAGTTTGAGGAGATAGAGTACCAAAGCCCGTGAGTAGGAGTACCAACTAGATAACGAAAAATACGTTTAATAGCTGAAAGCGATCCAGACACTATACATAATGTCAGGGCGGCTTGCAGTAAGGTACAAAAGTGATCCAATCATACCACGAAATTTTTTACAGTCTACTGTTTTCCAGATTCATCTGGTGTCAGTTTAACAGTGGAGCCCATGGGTGTAGAAGCTGCCTTTCAGTTGCCAAGATCAAAACGTTTTAACATGTTTTGTAAATATTTCGTTTGACTTATGAAAATCCTCTGACTAGTTTTTTTTACTTGTAGTCCAAGAAAATAAGTTAATTCCCCCATAAGGCTCATTTCAAAAGCATTTTTCATGTCATTCTCAAATTCTTAGCATAATTTTGGACTGGTGGAGCCAAAGATTATGTCATCAACGTAGACTTGAACTAGCAAGGTGTGTTCATTTTCATTTTTAATGAACAGATTTTTGTCAACTTGTCCATGATGAAAGCCCTTTTCAATCAAAAAGTTACTAAGCTTCTCATACCAGGCTCTAGGATCCTGCTTAAGCCCATACAAAGCTTTATTAAGCTTATGCACATAATCAGGATGTTCAGAGTCCTCAAACCCAGGGGGTTGAGAGACATACACTTCTTCTTTTATTTCTCCATTTAAAAAAGCACTTTTGACGTTCATTTGGTATAGTTTAAAACCTCGAGAAGCTGCAAATGCACACAAAAATCGTATGGCTTCTAGTCTAGCTACAGGGACAAAGGTTTCATCAAAGTCAATCCCTTCCTCCTGACAGTAGCCTTGAGCTACTAACCTAACTTTGTTTCTAGTAATCGTGCCGATTTCATCAGTTTTATTTCGAAAAATCCACTTAGTTCCAATGATTATTATGTCCTTAGGTCTAGGAACTAAGTCCCATACATGAGTTCTGGCAAATTGATTCATTTCGTCATGCATAGCTGCTTACCAGTATTCATCTTTTATAGCATCATCAATATTTTTAGGTTCAAACTGAGCCACAAATGCAGTATGCTCTGCATAAGGTTTGGATCGAGTGGTCATACCTCGACTTAGTTCTTCAATGATGAGAGATGGAGGGTGTCGACGCACGATGTGAGGTGGAGCCTGAGGATTGTGATACTTTTCTTTTTCTTCCACACTGTTGTCCTCCTCCGAAGGCACGCTTTCTGTTTCTCGAACCTCTTGAGTGCCGTGACTTGCATGAGTTGTTCCCAACACTAGATCATCATCCTCGTTGATGCTATCTGCACACTTACTGCAAGTCTCATCAAATATCACATGAACGGACTCCTCAACCTTGAGGGTCCGTTTATTGAAAATACGATATGCCCTACTATTTACAGCTTACCCAAAAAATATTGATTCATCTGATTTTGAATCAAACTTTCCCAAGTGATCTTTGGTATTTAGGACAAAATATTTGCATCCAAAGGGATGAAAATAACTCATATTAGGTTTCCTATCTTTCCAAAGTTCATAAGGAGTTTTATTGATTTTAGGTCTAATAAGTGCTCGGTTTGTAACATAACATGCCGTGTTAATTGCCTCTTCCCATAATTGTTTAGCAATTCCATAATCATTTAGCATTGTCCGAGCTATGTCTATTAGAGTCTTGTTCTTCCTTTCTACCACACCATTCTGTTGTGGAGTTCTAGGTGCTGAAAAGTTGTGAGTTATTCCCTTTTTATTGCAGAAACTTTCAAATTTTTCAGATATGAATTCACCTCCATGGTCACTCCTTATGCTACCTATTCTGGATTGTTTTTCATTTTCGACTCGTTTGACAAATTCTTTGGAGTTTTGATAAGCTTCATCCTTTGTGGTAAGAAACAATACCCGGGTGAACCTTGAGTAGTCGTCTACTATCACAAAAGCATAGTACTTGCCTCCTAGACTTATGACATTGCTAGGTCAAAACAGGTCTAAATGTAGCAGTTCTAGAGGTCTAGTGGTAGAAATAACTGTTTTAGTTTTGAAGGAAATTCTGGTATGTTTTCCTTTAGCACAAGCATCACAAAAGAATTCTTACTTAGAAGTTTTGGAACCCCCCTAACAATACCTAGGTTTACTAATCTTGATAGAATCCCAATGCTTACATGTCCCAATCTTCTATGCCATTCAAATTGATCATCTTTGTCTACTGAGACTAGACACATTTCGTTGAAGGCAGATTTCTCTTCAAGATCTATTGAAAAGAGTTTTCCCTTCCGTTTACCTGTTAGAATGAGCTTGTAGCTTACTATGTTTCGAAGCATTTATTTTGTTCAAAAACGACTCTATTTTCGCTTCCACAGAGCTCCCCTATTGGCAAAAGATTATGTTTTAGATCTTTAACCAGCAGCACATTACTAATGGAAGGGACAGATCCTACTGTACCTTTACCTAAGATTTATGTGCTGAAGTTATCACCAAAAAAGACTTTTTCTTTGTTTTCCAGAGTTAGTTTTGAAAAGAGGTTTTTATTACCTGTCATGTGATGTGAGCATCCACTATCAAGTATCCAAACGCTGCCTTCCATGCTCACTTGGAGACAGGTCTGCAAGAGTAGACATAATTATTTAGTTTTAGGTATCCAGACTAGCTTAGATACCCTCCTGGACTGAACTAAGTTTGTATATATATCTAGTTTACGTTCTGAATTTTCGTGCCTAACCTGATTTGTTCTATTTTCCTTAGTTATCCGCTTTCTACAGTTAGCTATGTAATGACCAATTCTGTGAAAGTAAAAGCATTCATGATTTTTATGAGTTTCTGATATTCTCACATATACAAACCTTACGTTAGATCTCATTTTTATCTGTGCTAACTCTGCTTTGGTGTTTTTGATTTGTTCCTTTAACCTGCAGTTATCTTCATCAGCTCTTGAACCTTGTTTTCTGCATTTAATTTTTCATTCATCATTATTTCAAACTCATTTTGTAGTTTTTCATGGCTGATTTTGATTGAGAGGTTTTTATTTTTCACATTCACACATTCATTCTGAATATCCCTAATAGTTTCATCTAATAATTCATCATTATCACTATCAGAGTCAGAATAATAGGCAGTTACCTGAGATTTTTCTCACTCGCAGTCATCAATAGCCATGTAAGCACTGTACTTGTGATTGGGTTCATCCTCCTCTTCATCTTCTTCGCTGCAGCTCCAGGTGGCAGCAAATGCTTTTTATTTCTTGATTAATAGGCACTCAGCTTTGATGTGCCCTGTTTTCCCACATCTAAAGCATCCAGCTTGAGTCTGGATCTTTTCATTGCTTGCTCCTTCCCTTCGACTTCTAAATCCTTGTCGTCCCCCTTTGTTTCTTTCTTTGTCGATGTCACCATCTCTTGGTTTGTTGGCGAATCCTCCTCGCTTCCTTTCTCTTCTGATTTTGAGCAGCTTTGCCACATGCTTGCTGAGCATTGCTAGCTCATCATCTTCCATTTCATCCAAGCAATCCAGATAATCTTCTTGAGTGGTGGCTTTGAATGCTATCCCCTTCTTTTCCCTTCTTCGCTCCTTCAGGTCTTCTCTTTTCAGTTTATCTTCATGTGTGATAAGGGACCCGATCAGTTCATCCAGACGGATCATGGTGAGGTCTTTAGATTCCTCAATTATTGTGACCTTGGGAGTCCATTTCTTGGGTAATGCCCAGAGTACCTTTCGAACCAGATCAGCACTGGCGTATTCCACTTCCAAGTTCCTCAAACTATTGACTATCGTGGTGAATCGGTCATTCATCTCCTTAATCGATTCTTCTAGCTTCATAATGAATGATTCAAATTCTTGCTTGAGGCTGTTTATCCTTGAGACCTTGACATGAGAAGTGCCTTCATGCACAATCTGCAGTTTATCCTAGATTTCTTTATCAGATTTGAAACCAGTCACTCTATGGTATTCTTCTGGCCCCAATGCACAGTACATTAGGTTTGTTGCCTTCGAGTTGAGTTGAAAGTTCCTCTTGTCGACTTCTGTCCAATTTCCGCGAGCTTCCTTCACTTCCAGAGGGCCATCCAGGACGATATTCCATAGATCTGGATGAGTTGATCCTATAAAGAGCTCCATTCGATTTCTCCATAAAGATATTCCATAGCCATAGTGCACACCTTCGTACCTTGGAGGACGAGTTTGTGAGAATCCGTCTGCCATAAAGATTCTGGTTGCCGATCCTGAGCTCATATTCTCCGAAGACGGTTGCGCCTTTAACGTCGGAACCAGGCTCTGATACCACGTGTTGGGTGAAGCTTCTGGAAATGTGTCCCAACATTCAGGGTTGTCAAAGAAGGGTGATGTTGATTCTGGTAATAGTGTGCATGGAGGTGCTCATGGGGGTAACATCAAGCATGTACACAAGCAGGTGTTCAAGCTATCATTAAGGGAGGAGGACATTCCGACAGACAAAAAGAGGTCTGCACAGGAGGTGAAAGGATTCACTAAA